ATAGACATGATTATATCAATGCTTATGAGGTGCAAGTTTAGACAAATAAAACATTTAACAAATGTGGTCTAAGATCACCTTTGCCTTAATATCTTCTATAATATTTCTTGAATTTTGTTTTGTTCACTTTATATGCTTTGCATTTTATGTTATATTGCTTTGATTTTTTTTTTGCAGAACCATGGATTACTCAAATGTAGACTTAGTCATCCAGAAGCTGATTGAAAAGGAAAGAAACTCAGAACTTCACATAGCTTCTGATGATAGTGAAGAAGTAAGTAGATGTGATTGTTAGTGAAGTTAATAGATTAATCACATATATTTAAACTTGTGGTTATTATAGTTATGCAACCCCTCACAGATGAGCTAGAGGTAAGCAACATTCACAAATGAATATGTTTTACCATATAGATGTAGTTGGTAATAATTCAGAAAAAAACAACAAAAATATGTGCATTTATCAGTCTTTATAAGGTGGGGGCTGATAGATTTGTGTGTGTTGTATAATAGGACTTGCATTTTTAGTACACCAGAAATGAAGCCTGGCTATGCATTCTTACATTTATACATTTCTGAATATTCCTAACTCCTTCAAAGACTTCTTTTGACATGGTATCATATGAGGTTCTGGGCAGTCCATTGACTTGTGCTCATTGATGAGTTGGACTATAGTGGGTATTGTGCTCCTGTGGCAGCAATTAGTGCAGGGCATGATAGGCACCAGTTTGTTGGTGGCACATAGGGCCTGGCTTGGCGGCGGCGCGTCAGGGGGCAGCAGGTCGTGGTGGCATGGATGGCACAGCAGCTTCAGGCCAAACTGCTGCAGTGAGGTGGTGTAGTTGAGTGGCAAGGGAGGTGAAGCCTAGGACAGTCAAGGTGCTGTCATAGCTGGGGTAGGCAGGACCGAGAATAATCTTGGCTGCCCTTTTCTGTACCCTCTTGAGCTGTAGCATCTGGGTGGTGGTGAGGGAGGGGGAGGTGTAGGTCAGTTTAGGCAGGATGAATAGTCTATAGGTATTTTGAAGCTCCAGAAGTGGGACACCAAGGGACTTGAGGTAATGCAGCATGTGAAGCTTGTACAAGGCAGACCTCACATTTTGTCGATGGTGACAATGAGCAGATTGGTGGAACAGACTACATCGAGCAGATGGTTGTCCAGCATGAGGATGGGCGTGGTGGTGGGGTTGGTGTAGAAGTCAAATTCAATCATGACTGACTTCTGGCGGTTGACAGTGACGTGATTTGCAATGGTCCAGGAGAGGAGGTTGTTAAGGGTGTGCTGGATGGCAGAGGGGTCAGGCCAGGAATTGTTAATGGTGGTGGTGATGGTCGAGTCATCCACGTATTTCCAATGATGCTCGGTGTCCAGGAGTGTGTTGTTAATCATGATGAGGAAGAGCTGGGGGCCCATCCTAATCCCCTGGGTACTCCCCATGTGAGTGGTAGGAGGCTGGAAAGTTGATCCTTCACATGTACGGCCTGTTGCCTGTTAGAAAATCTGCCAGCCAGGGGATGATGCCCGTGGAAGCTGCTGCTTTTGAGATAACCATGGTGTGATCCACCAGGTCAAAGGCTTTCTTAAAATCTATGAAGATGCTGGTGATGGAGGATTTGTGCTTGTTGAGGTGGGCAAGGAAAAAGTTGAGGAAACAGACAAAGCAGTGTGTGGTAGAGGAGGAGCGCATGTTGCTGAACTGCTGACTGTCAATGCTGGACGTGAGGTCCTGATAAGCCCAGTCAGTGACAAAGCTTTCACACAGCAGGCTGGGCAACAGATTGATGGCGATGGGTCGTAGTTTGCTGAATGAGGTGGGGCTTGGGATTTTCCTGATGGCAGTGACAAAGGCGGTCTTTCATTGAGGTGTTAACTATGGAGGTAAGAGGAGTGGCAAGTTCCATTGCAAACTCATAGATGAGGTGCATGGGCAGGTTGAGGGGGGATAGTGGCTCTCTTGATGTAGATTTTTCCCAGCTCCTGAAGCATCTGAACAGTTGGAGCAAGTGAGCGGGCCAGCGGGGAGGCGGGTGGTGTCCAGGGGGGGTAGCTGCTGACAAATCAAGGCCAAGTGGTCATTGAGAGCCTCTGCTGCTTCAGTGGGGCTGAGGTTGCTGGTGCATGGAAAATGCACAGCCAATTTGCAAGGCTGCACAGCTCATGAACTTTTCCATACCATTGGCTGGGCTGCAGGTGTTGTAATTTGTTCTGGTAGAAGATCTTGGCTATTTTTATTTCCCTGATGACTATGTTGCAGTGTGATATGTAGGAGGTGATGGTGTGTGAGAGGAAGACTTGGTTTCTCTACTGAATGAGGCGTTTGATGCAGCCCGTGATCCAAGGCAGATCCTATGGGTGTGTGCTGAGTGTCTGATTGAAGAAGGAGGGAAGCCATGGAGACACAAGGAATGAAACTATCAAATTCTAAGACTGAGTGGGAAATGTGGAGATCCCAAGGTCATGGAATTTAGATATCTTGCAAGCATACTCCTCCTCCTCCTCCTTCTCAGCAAACCCATGGAAACAAAGTTCAGCAGGAGGTTACAGTATGGATAGAGTAATATGAAGATTTCAGGAATGCTTTGAGGTTCCATTATGGCAAACCACCAAGTTTGTCCATTGCTCATGTCTCTCTCTTCCTGCAAGGTTGTCCAAGCCACAACTTCTTTGGTCATCCCACAGGTCTTACTTCCTGGTCCGACAGCCCAGAATCATCCTCCATATTAGCAAGATATGTAAAGTTCCGTGTGACTTCAGTGACCTTGCCACAAGCATGTATTAAAAAATAGGTTCTAGAAGATCCCCAAAGTCCAGGATGTTGGTCTGGGTCCAAGAGACCTGTAAACTTACGGTCTTCATCTCACTGCTAAATGCATTGAGAACCACCACAAGGTTCTCAAAACCAGATAAGATCCATACCTCACTTCTGAATTCACTAGAAAGAAGCTAAAGATGCCCCAGCACAAGTATAATTCTGTGAAGCAAAATACCATAGAGAGAGAGAGAGAGAGAGAGAGTGAGTGTCAGTCAGTCAGTCAGATAGTTAGTTAGTCAGAAAGAGAGAGAATGATAATTTATTTAATTCCATTTATTCCAATGGTTACTAATTAGACTGCAATTAAGTACTGATTAGATCACCATTAAATACTAATTAGACTGAAATTACCTTTCAGAAAGATGTACCACCTCCAGCACCTGCAAAAGGAGCTGATAATGCTGCACAATACAAAATTCCACCATGTTCATATTCAGACCTTATTCGCATTATTCTGAAAAATACAAAGACGAAAGCACTCCCCATATCAGGACTAGCTGTTATCTTGTGGTAAGTTTTAATATTAACTATTCATTAATCTCTCTCTCTCTCTCTCTCTCTCTCTCTCTCTCTCTCTCTCTCTCTCTCTCTCTCTCTCTCTCTCTCTCTCTCTCTCTCTCTCTCTCTCTCTCTCTCACTCTCTCTCTCCCTCTCCCTTTCCCTTTCCCTTTCCCTTTCCCTTTCCCTTTCCCTCTCTCCCCCTCCCCCCTCCCTCTCTTGTGGTAAGTTTTGATAATAACTATTCATTAATATCTCCCTCTCAATCTCTCTCTCTCTCTCTCTCTCTCTCCTCTCTCTCTCTCTCTCTCTCTCTCTCTCTCTCTCTCTCTCTCTCTCTCTCTCCCCCTTTCCCTTTCCCTCTCTCCCCCTCCCCCTCCCCCTCCCTCCCTCCATCCCTCCCCTCCCTCTCACTCTCTCCCCCTCCCCCTCCCTCTCTTTCCCTCTCTCCCTTTCTCCCTCTCCCTCCCCCTCCCTCTCTGCCTCTTTCCCTCTCCCTCCCTCTCTCCCCCCCTTCCCTCTCTCCCTTCCCTCCCTCTCTCCCTCCCTCCATCTCTCCCTCTCCCTCCCCCTCCCTCTCTCCCTTTCTCCCTCTCCCTCTCCCTCCCTCTCTCCCTCTCCCTCCCTCTCTCCCTCTCCCTCCCTCTCTCCCTTCCTCCCTCTCTCCCTTCCCTCCCTCTCTCCCTCCCCTCCATCTCTCCCTCTCTCCCTCCCCTCCCTCTCTCCCTCCCCTCCCTCTCTCCCTCCCTCTCTCCCTCTCCCTCCCTCTCTCCCTCCCTCCCTCTCTCCCTCCCCTCCCTCTCTCCCTTCCCTCCCTCTCTCCCTCCCTCCCTCTCTCCCTCCCCTCCCTCTCTCCCTCCCCTCCCTCTCTCCTTCCCCTCCCTCTCTCCTTCCCCTCCTCTCTCCCTCCCTCTCTCCCTCTCCCTCCCTCTCTCCCTCCCCTCCCTCTCTCCCTCTCCCTCCCTCTCTCCCTCCCCTCCCTCTCTCCCTCTCCCTCCCTCTCTCCCTCCCTCCCTCTCTCCCTCTCCCTCCCTCTCTCCCTCCCCTCCCTCTCTCCCTCCCCTCCCTCTCTCCTTCCCCTCCCTCTCTCCTTCCCCTCCCTCTCTCTCCCCTCCCTCTCTCTCTCCCCTCCCTCCCTCAAAACACTTGGGTATTATTGCGAAAGAATACCTATACTTGCACGGCTATATTCAGCATGTACATAACAAAATAGCTAAAATTTGTGGCCTACTTTATTTGACTCGCAACCATTTGAAACTGGGCTACTGTTATCAATCTACTTACTCCAATATGACTTACTGCTTGACACTGTAGGGTGGAGCCAGCAACACATCACTAAATCCTCTCATAGCCATATAAAAGAAAGAGGATCAGAGAAATCAGTGGATGAAAGAATGTATATCATGCCAGTGATTCTTTCATCAAATTTCAAACTATTAAGAGTTTAAAGCCTTTTTTACAATTTTGCATGTTCATTATATACATGCAAATGCTTACATATCGTAATTTCATCCCATAACTATTTCATCCCCCACAAACAGCACCTACTCTAGAAGAGACAATTTCAGACCATTGGTTTCATCTTCACAGTCCTAGAGCCATGTTGAATATCACACTTATTTTCAACAACATCCCTCCCAAAATCAATTGCAAAGCTACTTTAACCCAATGCCGACGGGCATGACGTGTATG